TGATAGTTAATTGCAAGTAAATGTTTTTAACCATTATTAGTTTTTATTGTATTTGTGATAGGAATGGCTGGAAGAATGCGTTGAAGACCTAATAGGGATAACGTGAAGAATGAATAAAGTTTGATCATACTCACAATGTAAGAATGTTGTTATTTTTTAAGAATTTTATTCATTTTTGTTGATATTCTTTTAGAATATGTATAATTATATTAAAATGTATAAGACTTTTAGTCTGTAAGAATATATATGAATTTGTATTTAAGTTCGGATGTATAAGAATATATTAGAATGTAATTATTTTTCAACCCCGGATTCAAGAATTTTGTTATTCTTCAATAATATTCTAATAGAATAAAATTCTGAAAGAACATCTTTCTAACAAAAAAATATTCTGACAAAATAAAATCGGTTATGTTTACAAAGTAAGTTAAAATTAAAATTGAATTAATTAAAAAAATCAGATTTTTTAAATTAGGATAATTAATTATCCCTAAAAATCCGAAAAATTCCTTTTATAAATTTAGTTAATTGTCCAAAATACATTTTTACTAAAAATTATGTGATTATATGGTACATGCTATCCCATTGTAGTATCATACACTCTCAAATCATATCCATTGATTAATTCTATCCGTTGGTCCAGATCTGTGCATTCTGGCACACAATAGTTACTAAAAACAAAATAACCTAAGCATATATATATATATATATATATATATATATATATATATATATATCTTAAGAACCTGTAAGATTAACTTTTATCATTAACACAAATATATCTCATATAAGCAATCCATCCCATCCCGATCCTCACATATTGATCCTATACAACGACTTTACGACAATTAACCAGAAGAATTAATGTGAACAATAATTTGACTATGTTGCTTTGGGGATTCCTTAGCAGTAAACGAGGATCAATAGAGACAGTAGGGGAAATAATGGAACACTCAATTTATTACACCTAATCCTTGCTCTCGGAATCAATGATAAGTGATTGCACCTAATCAATACTCTCGGATCAGTGATGAATGACTATGCTTAATCCATACTCTCGGACTAGTGATGTATGACTATATCTAATCCATACTCTCGGATAAGTGATGAATACTTATACCTAATCCATACTCTCGGATCGGTAATGAACGACTATGCTTAATACATACTCTCGGATCAGTGATGAATAACTATACCTAATCCATACTCTCGTATCAATGATGAATGACTATGCTTAATCCATACTCTCGGATCAGTGATGAATGACTATACTTAATCCATATTCTCGGATCAGTGATGAATGACTATACTTAATCCATACCCTCGGATCAATGATGAATGACTATACTTAATCCATAATCTCAGATCAGTGATAAATGATTATACTTAATCCATACTCTTTGATCAGTGATTCATTAACACCACAAGACATACTCTCTTATTCCTGGTGACTAATGATAGTCTAAGATTCATCATTAATCTTAATGTCTACATCAAGATCTATCAAGTAAGGAACAACCAGGTATGACATTATCGGAGGTTGAGTCCGTTTGGTATATAGAGTATATTGTTTGGAAATATCACTTTAAACACCTCACTAAATCCGGCCTAGACATCATTCATGTAAGTAGATCAATCAATATAATGACTTGGAATCACTGATAAATCTTATTTATAGGTTCATAATAACGATTATGAACATAAATATAAGTTACACTAAAAACTATATAAGTGTAGCTTAACTTACAGAGATTTTCCTGACAAAAATCCGAAAATTGCACTGGCAGAATCCCTACTCGAGAGCTTCCACTTGCTGGGATCTCATGGACTCTAGAGCCCCGCTAGAATAACGTAATTGCTAAGGAAATTCGAGTTTCGTAGAAGAAATCCAGAGGAATTGCTCTGGTGAGGGGGTTCAAAGCAATTTATAGGGTTGATTTGTGGGAGGCGTGTCGCGCCCAGACCAGAGGCGTGTCATGCCCTGGCCTATTCGGCCTTCCTGCTTATGATACGTGGTAGATTTTCGCTGGAGCCACGTAGACGGCTCCTAGAAGCTTGCGCGCCACGACTTTTTGCGCGTGGCGCATTTCGGGAAACTTCTAAAATTCGTAACTTCTTCATAAGAACTCCGCTTTTGACATTATTTATATCCATATGTAGCTATCGACGAGATCTACAACTATCGTTTAGGCTCCGTCGACTAATTCTCATTTTATTTTTAATTTATTAGTTTTAGAGGGTTGAGACTGCTAAAGTCCGTTAAAAATTATTATCTTTATGAAATGACATCTGTTCTTGACTGTCTTTATATCAACAGACTCCTATTAACGAGATCTTCGACTCTCTTTTAGATTGTTTCGACTAACAATCAACCGATCTAAAATTCGTTTTCTGTGCTAACACTGTTACACTGAAATATTAGGAAAATCATAACTTCCTCTTACGAAGTCAGATTTGTACGTTCTCTATAAGCACGCTCTTAGTTTTACGATTACTACGACTTTTATTTAGATTACTTAGGCTAATAAACGACCTATCTAAAATTCACTTTTTACGATGCACATAGTTGTGTCGGTTTAATTGTGAAACTTCGAAAAACATAACTTTTTCATACAATGTCGGATTTCAGAGTTTTTTTTATATGTACAGAATCATTTTCACATACACTATAACTTTAGTTAAGGTTATTTATCCTAAATAACCTTCTATCAAAATGTCGTTTTTATCGCTTGTTATATTTTAATTGTCTAGTCCGAAGTTGTGGGCGTTACAACCTTGGGTTTAGACAACTTCTAATTCCATTTTATTTCCTACCTCTTGACATCCCTCTTACCTTCTTTTTGGTTTTCGAGTTTCCATCTTCATGTCGTTGCCACTAAATGGCCGGTTCGTACACATACAAGCTAAAAATTAAAGATTGTAGTCCCCTGGGAAGGATGACCCTTAGGCGTTCACCCAGCTTGCACAACATTTGGACGAACATTGCTTACATCCTATAGACATAAGAGGCACTAATGGAAACCAACATATCGAAAACAATGAATTTTTGGGGATTAATGTATTTTCATCAAGATGTGTAACAAGCTTGGGATATTGTTAAGGAGAGGGAGCAAAGGACATTGACTGAGAGAGAAATAAAGGGAATGTCTTAAGAGTGGGGATCATTGAAAAAAAATGGTTGTGAATTTCGAGAGGTTTTCTTAATGAGGTAAATGGCCATTTTATGATATCTTCTAAAATGTAGCTTATGAATTGATAGGAAAAAAATTCTAAATTGTCATCTTAGTGAATAACTCATATTAGTCATATATGTGTTAGCATTACTTTTTCGTGATCCAATAAAGGAACATGTATCTCTCAATACTTCCAAGCAATGTTGCAAAACTCGTTAGACGTTCCCAGAGCGACGGACTAACGCCTAACGAGTATCCGGTCTAGGCGGGGAGTACTTAGATTGGATAAATTATATAAAATTAATATTAGGAAAATTATATATATAACAAATATAACAATTTTACTAAAAATTATAACAAAATAGATGAATATTAATAACAATTATAGATTTTTTCCAAAAAAAAAAGTCAAAATTTCTGAGTTTTTCCGATTTTTACCGATTTTGACCGATTATGGAGTTTTTTCGATTTTGACTGAATTGGAGCTGATTTTGACTGATTTCGAGTTTTTTGGCCGATTTCTAGTTAGACGTCTCGGCCCCTACCCGATTCCGATTTATGGGCCGCCTAGGCCGAGTTTTGCAACATTGCTTCCAAGATGAGGATTTTTTAAATCTTCTAGGTTTTCACATTCTTTTAAGATCTATAAGGTTACACAAAGTGTGGTGGACGAACATCCCATATGGCTTGGATGAAAATTTTGGAACACTGCCATCTAGGGACGGCATGCCTAAAAAAATGAAGGCATGTCATCTATTTGTTGCACCTTTTTCCCTCTAGGCACACAAACAAACACCAAACACCACTCTTAAAATATAACAAGAGCATGACAAGATGATGTGGATCCTATGTGAAATAGTTGTCATTGGCACCACTCCCTTTAGAGTTTAGCCTAAGGAAATTGGCTTCCAAGTTCCACCAAATGTAAAAAAAAATGGTATAAATTTTGGGTGTTAATATATATGTACTCTCGCTCATATAAAAAGATCAAACATTGAGGTACATATACTCGCCCGTTCATACAGAAGTGTACAACAACAATAGTACTCTGGCCTTCAACTAGTCGACCATCCTTACCAAGTGCTTTCTATCCCACTGAAACCAATCAATTCCATTGGCACCAATCAACTATCTACAATCATTATTGTCCTCTAAAATCTAAATATACCTGTCATCATGTGATCATAAAAATTAGGAATGTTGATTATTACAATTTCAAGCCGTACCTGTACAAAATTATCTTTTAGTGTTTAAATAAAGTAATTATAATAATGCTTATCTGATTATTTGAAGTTAAATAATAAGTTTGGGAATGTATGCGACAAAAAAAAATTATATAAAGGAAAAGAAAAGACACTATATTTACTTTTGTTTCATCTCCAATTTTAAAACTTCTTCAACAAAAAGTTTTTATAAAGGAAAAGAAAAAAAATATTTAAAACTATTTACCTTATGAAAATAGAACTTTTAAAATCATAAACAACAATATTTTTTAATAATACTGAAAATTATTGTTATGACGGAATAAAAATAAATTTTCATATTAAACTTAAGTCAATCAACAATACATACGAATAAGAATGTTACTTTTAATGATTTTGTTTAAGATTTATCAAACATTCAAAGTAACCTATAAACAAAATTATAAGCATCACATCTAAACACCACTTTTTACCACCCCTTTTATTATGATTAATTGTTTGATTCTGATTATTTAATATCAAATAACCACCGGGCATCGGATATCCCTAAATGTGGAAAAAAGCTATATTTCCATATAAACTAAAGTTGTATTGTATCCTACAAGGCACAAGCACACAAGCTTTGCTTTAATACAAACTCAACTCCAAATTGGATCTCAACCACTAATCCTTTCTTCTCAAACAAGGTTAAACCCAAAAACAACTATACACCATTCAGCCAAATTCAATACCAATTCAAACATTTCCTTCACCAACTCATTTACTATAAATAGCAGAAACCGAAGGTCTCGGGTAACCCGTGGGGCCCGACTTATTACCATCAACACCCTCACGTGGGACCAATCTCCGTGTTTGTGTTTCATTAGCAGAATGTCTTCGTATCCGTGTCATTCCTTTTGGATCTTGAAGTAGTTCTAGCTCTTTGACCACCTCAGTCATACTGGGTCTAAACCGTGGGTCCATTGAGACACATCGTAGGGCCAAATTTGCAGCCGCGTGGGCCCCGTCTAACGTGTATTGCCCTTCGAGGCGGTTATCGAGGACACGAAAGAGTTTACGTTTGTGGGGAAGGTACGGTTTGGCCCATTCGACTAGACTGTGTTCGCCTGTGGGCCGGTTTTTGTCTACGGCCCTTCGGCCCGATAACATTTCAAGAAGGACCACACCGAAGCTATATACATCACTTCTTGCGGTTAAATGGCCTACAATTGTTGGAAAATGTGAAATATATAAGCATCAAGTTTGGTTAAAAATTGGAAGTTGATTGCTATTTTGAGACGTACCGGTTGCTAAATATTCGGGAGCCGCGTATCCGTAGGTCCCCATGATCCTGGTTGAGACATGACTTTTATCTCCAGTTGGTCCATCCTTGGCTAGCCCAAAATCCGAGAGCTTCGCATTATAGTCCTATATGAAAGAAACAATTAGACTATTAGATATATGAAGTCCTTGATCCTTTTTATTCAAGAATACCAAAAAAAAAAATGGATGACTTTTAAATATATATGGAGTCTGTGATTTTCAATTTTAGAAGCCCAAAAATTCCATGTGTGTTGAGGTCCTCAAGTTTTATACACGTTTAAGTTAGTTCAAGCTTGCTCTGATACCATGTTAAATAATGAGAATATGTCGGTTTGGTTTGCGTTGTGGGAACCAACAGAAAGAATAACAAACAACAAATGTAAAAGATCTAAATTTAAATCAAGATAACTTACTGAATCAAGCAAAACATTAGAAGTCTTGAAATCCCGATAAATCACTTTGTTTTCGGCATTATGAAGAAAAGCAAGTCCTTTAGCGGCTCCAAGAGCAACCTTTAAACGAAGGCTCCATGAGAGTGGTTGAAAGTAAGATCCTCCTATCAAAATAAGAATCATCAGAAACCCATGAATCATCTCTTAAAAAACATCTTTAATACTAATATATTAATTCAAAAAGAATCATAAAACTCACTCCTGAATAAATGATTTTCCAAGCTGCCACGTGGCATGAATTCGTAAACTAGAAGCCGATGTTCATCTTCCAAACAATATCCAATCAACTTCACAAGATTCGGGTGAGAAAATTGGCCCAAATAATTCACTTCCGCCTAAAAAACAACACAAAAATCCGATTCCATTAAAAAAAAAACGATTCCTTTTAATAAGAAAAAGAAAAAGAGTAATTAGTAATTAGAAGGAGGCTCAGCTCACCAGCCACTCCCTGTGACCTTGAAAGCTTTCTTGATTGAGTCTTTTAACGGCGATAACAATTCCGGTTCCCGGCTTTGTAGCGACCAACGACTGCTCATCGATCCACCCTTTGAAAACCGAACCAAAACCGCCTTCTCCCAACACGCTATCTGGCCGGAAATTTCTGGTCGCTGTTTTAAGATCGGAATAGCTAAAGCTCTTCAGATTCGTTGATTGCAATATTTCTCCTTCACTCCGGGGAGTCGGAGGAACCGATGAGACCTTGCTGCTAAAGGAAGTGCTAATTCCATTTCCATCCGTACTTACATTTCTTGAACTTACCCCTGAATTATGGATACAATACCATAAATTAGACGATTTATTGATTGATTCCCTTTTCGAAACATTCTAACTGCAACTTCTGTCATCTGTGTCGTTTTTTAATTGGTATATTCAGATTCCCGGAAAAGGGAATTAGGGAAAGTTAAATTATCATAAACCTTTAAATAGATGCAATTAAATTATTGCTGGTTTATCATCGTTAACAAAGAAATTGAAACTTGAAAGTGTACCTGTGTGACAGGGGCTCTCAGCTTTGATTCTAGCACTCAGACAAATACCCATCGAAATTCTTCTTCTTGGAAAGGGGTCTCTCTCACTTCAACAAGGTTATTCGAAGAACAAGAACCTCGCTACAGTTTTTAAGAGGTAAAACAAGATTAGAATAAGATAAAAAGCAGATCTGGGTGTGAAAAGCTGGAAGATTGGTTATCCCACGGAGCAAAAAGCTTTGTGCACTGGAACTACGTTTCACCATTAACCACGTAACGATTTGATGAAAAAGATAGTTTTTTTCCTTGACGATTTGTGGGAAACAAGATGAAATCACACAAACCCATAACGAGGTTCAACAGCAAAACAACGATTTGTGGTAAACAAGATGAAATCACACAAACCCACAACGAGGTTCAACAGCAAAACAATGAATCTGTACCTCTTTTTTTTGAAAGAATCGGAAATTTGGTGTCCTCCGAGAGAAAAGAGAAAGAAAAGGGTAGTGGTCGGTGGCTATGGTTAATTGAGAAGTTTTTGGGTGGTTAATCAAATGAGTCAGGTGGGGGTGAGGGAGGGAGGGCGGGCTGTCGGAGTGGTGGATGTAGGTTAAGATAAGAGGACATTAATAGCGGAGCTGCCCCCACTTTGGCATTATATACTGTGGTGGGGATAAGGGTTTCCATAGTTGCATCATGCATGATTATTAAAGCTTGGCTTATTTCAAAACTCGCCCACCAACTTAACGAATTATTTTTCTATGTCATGATAAATTGATAATGGATAATTTGTTGATTAACTTTATCGGTATTTTAAGGAAAATTTTTACTTATAATGGTAAGATATTTTTGTTTGCTGAATTTTTTTTAATTGTTAGTCAAAAGTGTAAGAATCATTGTGGTATGTCAAAATTGTCATTTGTTTAAAAAATGTTTAGACTAACATTACCGGTCCAAACTTTAATATTGCTGCGAGTTTAGTCTAATCTATTTTGAATCTTTTTAAAATGAAATTAAAAAAAATGTGTTATCCCCCCCCCCCTCTTTTCTACTATTACTTTTCTTCAACATAGGTGTGTACCCGCTTCATTGCACCAAAATCGGAACCAGTGGTTCCTGTCAAGTTAGAACCGCAATCAAAACCGGTCTAGGCGGTTTTAAAATTTTTGGAGCCAATCTCGAAACCGGCGGTTCTGGTTCCGGAAGCGAGTAACCCGGTTACATCATTCTTTTAGTTTCTTTAATGCAAGATGATTCTTAGCTATTTAAACAAAAAGTAAATATAGAACTAGTTCATTACGATGAAAGTTCCAAACAGCAAAAAGATAATCGATTTAAATGATAATCCAAGTTGCGAAATATATGTCATAAACCAAAGTTCATGTTCTTATCATCAACGTGTTAATGTTATTTAACATCAGATATTTTCAAAAGATATTACCATCACGTATGTTCAAATTGTTTTACAGTAATGCATTCACGTTTATATCATACCATTTGTTTTGAAGAAGAAAAAAATGTTGCAAATATGACTTATTAGCATGTTACTTCCAAAATCCAATTAGATAGTCCCAACAAATATCTTAGTCATCAACGTCGTTACAGTCAATTCGTTTAAGTATTAAGTATTTTTAAATTTTAATATTTCAAAACCGGTTCCGGCGGTTACCCAGCGAGTAACGATTCCTAAAAAATGAAAATCAGAACCAGTGACCTCAGTTCCGGTTCCAAAACCAACAGTCCCGAGGCAGTTCTGGTATAAAAAGCAGGTACTCGATATTTGTGCTTATCCTTATTCTTCCCAAATTTTCATTTTTATTCCCTTCGGTAAACATCACCATCGCCACCACCGGTCACCATATCCACTATAGCTCGCCGCCTCCACAGCTCTCTTCTAAAGTTTGACTTTTGGTTACCAGAGTTCTGGTTGCTCGATTTTCAGATCTAGTCAGACCAGATGAAGAGAGAGAGAGAGAGAGAGAGAGAGAGAGAGAGAGAGAGAGAGAAATAGAAAGTGAGTTGAGGGAGGGAGTGAGAAACCTTTGTCGGTATCCGGATCTGTTTGCCGGAACGCCACATTTCTCTTCGAAATGACGCATCCTCCCTACGACGAAACCATAAAGGTCGTCGGTCTCCGGATCGGTTTGCCGAAACGTCGCCTCTTCGCACCCATCGAAGCCATATAAGTCATCTTCTACCCAAAAGATTTATGGGGTTCACTCCATAAATGTCATCGTCATTCTCCCTCTCTATCCCTCTCTTGATGTAACTTTGGCGGTGACGGTAGGAAACCTTCAGATCTGAAAATTAAACCTCTCGTTTGAGCTCGGGTAACGGACATATCTCAAACCCTTGTTGGTTCCGAAAACCCACCGTCGGAGCCACCTCTTATAGCAAACCCTAGTGTTGCCGCATTTCATAGCAAACCCTATTGTCGTTCGTCTCTCTCTCACATGTCTGAGGTGGTTTAGGGTTTGCAAACCCTAGTTCTGTCTGTGTTCCTCAATGTTTTAAAAACCGGTTTGAACCGGTTAGACCGGGAACCGAAGGAGAGAGCGGTTCAACTATCACCGGTTTTATGTCGATTTTTGAACCGGATTGAACCGGTCGGTTTTTAAAAAAACCTGGTTGAACCGGTCAAAATAAATCGGTTGAATCAGTTAAACCGAATAAAAACACATGGGAAAGAACCATTTGCATAATAAACTTTGGTGATTTTTTCAAATCTATTTAGTTTTTCTCTAAATAAAAACATATGATAAATGTTATAATGTTTTTAATGTGTTTGTATTCACCTAAAACTATATTTTGCTTCGGTATTATATTTTATTTTCTTTTTGACGTATATGGATTGATGTAAAATACTAAAACTTATAGTTATGTGTTATTTTAATGTATTTTGATTGAATAACAACTTATTTTTATGTATATTTTTAATGTTTGAACTAGTAAACGTCAAATTCATGATTTATATATGCATGTATTTGTATGAAAATAGGAAAAAATATGAAAATTATAGATTCCGGTTGACCCGGCAGTCGAACCGGTTAAACCGGAACCCGGTTACCATACCGGTTCAACTAAAAAACCAATTTTTAAAACGTTGGTGTCCCTTCGTTTCGCTTCTTCTTTGACGACGGCATCCGGTTGTGGTGGTTGTGATGTTGCTGACAGGTGATGGTGATGGTGGTGTTAAGTGATGCACGGATAAAAGGGATGAGGGGTGACTACATATGTCTTTTCTTTTATATTTACTTTAATCAAAAAATATTAAAATTAATAAAAAAAAATAGAAAAACAAAATACTAAGGGTAAATATGTCAACTTAAATATTTTTGTAAAAAAAGTTGGACCAAAACCGCAACAAATTGAAAGTTTTTGACCAGTGGTGTTAGTGTTGGAAATTATAGTGGAAAATTGCAAGTTGGCAAGTTTCCTCTATCCCACGTTGGTGGGGGAAGAAACTTTTAGTGGGTTTATATGCCTAATCCCTTGATAGACCTTCAAAGGCTTTAGTGGATCAAGGAATGGGCCAAGCCCACTGGCGCGCCTAGCCTAGCCTAGCACTAGCCGACGCCGCGAGTGCGCGAAATGGCGCGATTTAGGCGCACTTTGCACGACGCATCGGTCGCTGGTAGCTGCGGAGCTTTTATTTAGGCGCACTTTGCACGACGCATCGGTCGCTGGGAGCTGAGGAGCTTTTATTTTTGAAGAGTTTGGGTCAAGCCGGTTTGACCGCTTGGAGAGCAAGCCGTCGCCCTAGGGTTTCTGGGGCCGGCCTATGGGGGCCTGTTTCATGCCTTCTAGGGTTTCAATACCTATAAATACAGCTCCCTAGGAGCCGTATTGACTACTCACGAAAAATTAAAAGCTCTCTCCATCTCTCTGTGTTTTTCTTCCGGTTTCTGAGTATTCGCTTTGTGCTTGTCGATTTCCAGTGTTGTTGGAAGATCGATAAATCTGCATTAAATCCCGGGGTTTTACTATGTTGCTTACAGCCAGTAGAAGCGAAGTAAAAACCTTTAAGGACAGGAGTCCGATCCGTGCAGTTGTTTCAAGTTCAAGATCAACCGTCAACAGGTCGAACTTTACTTTTCTGTCTTGCATTTAATTTCGTCCAACAACAGGACAGTCTTCTTCTTCCTTTCTTATAATCAAATCTAATCGTGAAGGATTAATCTGTTTTTGGACGAAATTTGGTAAATATAATAATAATAATAATAATTAGATTTGTTATTCGCAACTAATTGACATATAATTCTCAATATTATTTGTCAGTTTCCTTGCGTGTCTATTAGTTTGATTTACAACAGTTAGTCCAAACTTTTTTGGACCAAAGTGGCAATTTTCGACATACCACATGAACCATTCTTGCAGTTTTGTCGTCTTGTTATCTTTTACATAATCAATCCTTATGTTAGACTAGGTTAAGTCGGTCATCTAGGGTATTATGATATTTTAAGAAAATACGAAATTAATTACATGGCTATTATGTATAATTATCCTCTTCCAACCTTCATTTAACTAGAACAACTATTTACCGCTCAATTACTCTGTGTCATCCCCAATTTCACGGATATTTTATAAATTTTATTTATGCTTATTTAAAACTAGAGTTTATTTATTAATGCAGAATTTGGTCCCGTAAAAGTATTTATGAAGAAATGTTTCCCGTTGATTTATAAAAGGGTTGGGATGTCATAACTGATACAAAACATAAGCATAAACATGCCTTACAATATCTTATACTAACAGTCTACATCTCCTTGAATCTCTCATCATGCATGTAACTTTGTACCACTATCTGTGATACAATAAACTAAGTGAGTCAATTTGGGAAACCTGTTGAGTACATAGGGTTTTCAACCCATAATAATATAGTTAATATGTTTAATTATCAAACAATTAACCCAATTTCTCATCCCCATTATCTTCTTTATTCTTAAAGATCTACCATAAGGATCATCTATGCTGACAGTACTTTCCTCTGTGATACTTGTCAGTAGGTTTTCTTATATTCATTCCTAAGGATTTATCGTATGGATCATCTTCTTTATTGACAACATTATTTTAAGGAATCCTCTCACTATACATGTCAATAGGTTTTAGATTACATCTGGTGAACACATAGTTCAAAAACACCTACAGGCTGCGACTATCTAGAATAGTGCGTGTTTGTCATCTATATTCTGATAGATGACTACATCGCCTAGTACTTATGTATTAGTAAGAATTTTCATCTTTCATCACCTATCTCCTTCTCTATTTTATTCAACCCTCATTACCTATTTCTACCCAATTATAGGTAAAAAAATACATATATGGTAAATCATATAAAATCATCTTATAATATTCCATCTAACATAGCACATTTTGGTTATAGATAATAAGCACATATAACATTTAATTATTTATATACTTCATAGCTATGCGTAAGATGAAAGTAATTATGCACTCACTTAGAAAAGTGGATGACTGACAATTTCGGAAATGCTTCGCTTCATACTTTGAAAGGATATATGCACATTGAGTACTAAATCTTAGTCTAGTTTCGTAATCCTGATGACTATAATAATTATAGTCTAGATTCCTCACTAATCCTAATGTCTACATCAAGATCTATCAAGTTAGG